AGGATAGTGGATATCGGAACAAAAAAGTTATTGCTCCCACTGTACAAGAAGGAAAAAATAATCGTGAGTCAATTATTGTATTGGATGTATGGAAGCACTCGAATTTCCTTTGCAAAAATTACATCCTAAATAGATTGGGCAATACACTTTATAGAGTGTATGGTTCCAAGGACCCAGTCAATGATCAATGAGACTTATTGGAGAATAAATACAGGATTGAGGATATCGGAACAAAAAAGTTTATTGTCGGCAAGTTTTTAGACTACAAAATGGTAAACTCCAAAACCGTGAAAAGTCAAGTGCGAGAACTTAACTTCTACTTCATGACATACATGCAAAAAAGATGAAATTAAGTGAATCATTCCAAGTTGCAACCATCATTGAGAAATTTCCTCCTATGCGGAGAGTTTTCAAAAATTATCTCAAGCACAAACACAAGAAGATAAACTTGGGAGAATTTATAGTCCGTTTGAGGATTGAAGAAGACAATAGAAAAATTGAAAGAAAGTCTATTGTTCAACTTAGAGCAAAGTTTGTTGAAACTAGTTCGAAAGTTGTCAATAAGAAGCATAAGATCTCTGGTAATGCATCAAGAAGAGACAACTCTAAGAATGCTAAGAAGTTTAGCTAACTATTACAATTGTGGAAAAGCCGACATTAAGATGAACGCAAGCAAATGTAGTTGAAAGAGACACTCTTTCTACAGGGATACAAGAGATGAATATCTCTGCGGTGTTTCTAAATGTAACAACGTTGGAAATTCAAATGAGTGGTAGGCTGATACTGGTTCTACCCTTAACATTTGTGCAAACAAGACCATGTTCTCAAACTACAAAGAGTTAAATGGAGAACAACTCTTCATGGAAAATTCTACAAGTTTTAAAGTTGAAGGATAAGGAAAAGTTACTTTGAAGGCGACATCCGGTAAAGAGCTCGTTCTCAACAATGTCCTACATATACTAGACACTCGCAAGAATCTTGTATCAAGGTCTCTATTTAGCAAAAATAACTTTAAACTTGTATTTTTATCCGATAAATTTGTACTTATTAAGAATAAAATGTATATTAGTAAAGGATACTTATGTGATGGAATGTTCAAAATGAAAGTTCTTACAATTGTACCGAAACAAAGCGTTATAAATAAAACTTTGAATTCTATTTACACGATAGAGTTGTCTTGTTTTGGCACAATCGATTAGGACATGTCAATTAAAAGTCAATGTGCAAACTTATGAATCAAAGTTTAATTCCGACACTTAAGACTAATTCTAATCATAAGTGTGAAGTATGTGTTGAAGCAAAGTTGCCTTTTCAATCAGCTCAAAAGAACACGACACCTTTAAAATTAATACATAGTGATATTTGTGATTTGAAATTTGTTCAAAATAAATGTGGCAAAAAATGCCTCGTTACTTTCATTGATAATCGTACAAAGTATTGTTATGCCTTTCTACTAAGGAGTAAAAACGTAGCTTTAGATGCATTTAAACATTATAAAACAGAAGTTGAGAGTCAACTTGATAAATGAATAAATAATATTCATAGTAATAGAGGAGGTAAATAAAGGAGATCGTTTGAAGAATATTATTTCGAATATGAAATTATTCATCAAACAATGACACCTTACTTACCTCAATCGAATGAGGTTGCTGAACACGAAAATCAAATACTTAAAGAGATCATGAAGGTAATGTTGTTAAATTCGAGCCTACCCCAAAACTTGTGGAGGAGGAAGCTATTCTAACTGCACATAGCATTCTTAACAAGATGCGCCGTGAGAAAATGGAAGCAACGCCGTATGAACTATAAAAAAGTCATCCGCCATCTTATAAATACTTGTGTGGGGATGTTTAGCTAAGGTTGAAGTATCTAAGATTAAACATGTGAATATTGGTCTCAAGAAAATTGATTGCATATTTATTAGATATGTTCATAATAGTAGTGCATATCGTTTCCTTGTACATAAATCTGAAATTCAAGATATACATGAAGGAGCATAATTAAATTACGAATGCATCATTATTCGAGAATATTTTTCCATTTAAAGACAAGAAAATTGCAAATTCTAATAAAAGAACTTGTGATAGTACAAATGACACTTCAAAGGAGGAAGACCAAGACATAATAAAAGGGCTAGAATATTAATATCGTTTTGCCCAAATTTTCTAACATGAGAATGACTAAAGACTTTCAATGAAGCAACGTCTACACCTTTCTTATTATTTTTATTGAATTAGGTTTTCAATTATAAATTCGTGTGATATATTTATTAAAGGGGTGTTTGATTCACATTTTTCTTAAAATACATTTTTTCTATTTTTCTTTTCAACCACATATTATTCATTAAAATAATATTACACACAAATCAAGAATTTTTCATTCTTTTATAACTACACATTCTCTATCAATTTACTATTCCAAAATACATTCTTTAAAAAGAATGTGGCTCAAAAAATCATGTTTTAGTTATGATATAAACATAATATGATGTAACAAGTAAATTTTGTGGTGTCAATATAATTACCCATGCTCCAATCAGATCTAGTCCGATCCAATAATTTGCTAATTTATTATGGAGTGGTACAACTTTTTATATATTATTATATATAAAGTTATATAAAAAGTTGGTGCATCCCACCATATTCACGACTCACGAGTAAGTGTCATAATATAATATCTTTGCACAAAATTCTTACTAAAATAAACAATTTTAATATTAATCAACTTCGCTGACTCTTACCAACCTCCACAAAAGTAAAAATATTTGCACATTAACCTATGAAATATAATATTTTTTTTAGAGAATAATACATTTTATAATATAGTCACGAGATACAATTTCAAAATTAAGAAACTTATCTTAAAGTTTCAAAAATCGGGTCATAATTCAAAATTTATTAATTAAATAAATAACTAAAAATATTTTATTAATTAATATATTAAGATAACAATATTATACAAATTATTGTCACAATTACGTGTTAATCACAATTATAGAATGTCACAATCGCAAATCACAAAATTTATAAGTCAAAACTTATTTATCAATCACAAATTATTAAATTAATTGATCACGCATTATGTCTCGACCATAAATGTCACACAATTATGGTCACATTCACAAGACACAAATTACGAGTCACAATTACACAATTTTTAGGTCGCATATTATTTATTATTGACAAATTACCAATTTATCGGTCACAAATAATTGTTTTACCGATCATGATTATTCAAATAATTGATCACAAAAGTTCTTCACCCTACATCACCTCACACCACCAACACTAACTGAATGTTGCTCCATCTTGCAATCATCAAAAACAATTGAACGCCATGCCATCTCACATCACCCCCAATACCAACACCTCTTGCACCACGACTGCCAACAACCACCATCAATTACAACTGCAAAACAACCAATACAATTTGCAAACCACAAACAAAATTATCCGCTGGGCAAATTAAAGGAGAAAGAAACTAACTCAAAATCACCCCCAAAACCTCTAAATCGCTCGCAGAGAGTGCGAGGCATTGTGCGAGACACCACTACGCACGTTGCTGCTCTTATAGTAGGAAGATGAGAATAGCGATCGAGGCTTTGTGTGTTGGGATTCTTAAGGTTTGGAGAGGTATGATTTAGAGAGAGGAGAGAGGATATGAATAAAATTTAATAATAAGATAATTACTATTAAAAAGTGAATAGTATGACTTGATTTTTAAATAAATAAGTTTTAAATTTGATTATTGAAATTAAAAGTTGAAAATCATGTATGGGTTTAATTTTCACGTACTTTTATATATTAAATAATGTAATAATGACACCACTTACATAGCCCCGTTTGGCCCCATTTTTTTTGAAATAAAAATGGGTGAAATATATATATATATTTTAAATGAGTGGTTGAAAAAGAAGAATTTTTTCCGATTACATGTAATATTATTTTATGGAAAACTGTGTGATTGAAAATGAAATAGAGAAAAATGAAATGAAATGCAAATTAATGAGGGCCAAACGAGGACATAACTCATGTTAAGCATAAAAAAAGGTGATTAATCAATTTTTTATGTTTATAAAAAGATTTCACCCATAACTTTTTCTGATTAAAAAAAAAAAAAAAAAAAGCCAAAGCAAAAGCAAAAGCAAAGATATGGAAATTTAGAAAGGATATACTGCATAGATATTCCCACGGGGGCCCCCACCGAGACATATTTTGCAGCCCAACCCCACAGCCGATGCGGAAACCCTAATCAACAGCTGAATCATATCATATCATTTTCCAACAATAATAGCACAATCATAGTGAACGACAAGATATGAATTAAAAATTAAATCTAATACTTATTTTTAACATTTTTTTCAATAAAATAATTTTATAAACAAATATATATATTTTTTTTCAACCACTCTCCAAAAAATTATTTTCACAAAATATATTCAAAAAAATTAATATCAAATATGCTCTATATTTCCCATTTAAACCACCTTCTGTATTGGATTCAAACTCGAATTCCAACACAAATATGTAACACGTTTTAATGATCAGCATTTAAGGTTGTAACATATTAAATTGTCTACATTACAAAAAATTGCAATTAAGTCCCCATTTTTTTCAAATTAAAATGGATGCAATAATATTTTTCTTGAAAAATGAGTTTCGATAGCTTTTGATTTTCTAAATGCGTAATAATGCTTGATTCCTCTTTTGGTAATTTTTGAAAAAAAAAAATTATCAATGAAAACATTGTTTTCAATCCTTTTCAAATAATCTAAATCGATCTTGAATAGTTTTAAAAATCGACAGTTTTCATAATTAAAATAAGAAATTTGATGGCCATTGATTATCTTAACATTATTGTACATCGCCCTAAAAGCAAAAACAGAAACGCACAAATTAAGCAGATTATCTTTTCTACTTCTTTTGAGATTAATTAATTATTAATTTACACAGATTGTGTTAGATACAACATATGTGACTTACATAATCTTTTAAAATAGAATATTAAAAATAATCCAAAAAAATCAATTATAATCTTTTATCTATAAATATTAGTAGTAGATGGCAAAGGATTCTGAGTCTAATTGATTGTAGTTCGCCATTGAAGAGGCTGCGGGAGGAGGAGGAGGAGAAAGAGAAGGGTGCTCTTTCTGTCGATATGGAAGTTAATAATGGCGGCGGAGCAGCAGCGGACCTCCCGGAGTCTATCTCCTCTGTTATACCTGGCTGGTTCTCTGAGATTAGCCCTCTGTGGCCTGGCAAGTTTCCACCTCCCTACATATACTTACGTACAATATTCAGGAATTGAATTGCTCTATTGAGTTTTTTTGGCACCCATTTTTATGTACTTACGATTATTTGTGTTTGTGTGAATGAAATTGTGAGTAAAAAATTATTTTTAGAAGGTTTCGTGAGAGCTTTTATTAGATTTGATAAATTCAAGTTGATGAATCAATTATTTGAGTGTGTTTTGAATTACATGTATGTATGTATTTAATATTTATGCATCTAAGCATGGCCGTTTGAATATACGGATTTTTGGTTTATTATTCTCAGTTTTCTTTCTCCTTTTTTCTCAATTTGTAGAATGATTCTATCAGTACAATTTAATGTTTGTACTTGCTAGAAAGGGATATGATGTTTTTAGGTGATTAGTTTTTTTGAGAAAAATTCAATGTCTTATAATTTTTTCATAATTTTGGGAAGGAGAGCTTTAATTCATAATACATGGACGCATGTTTGTATAGCCTTAGACTTGGAATACATGTTCTTACCAGTACAGTGTGAATTTTATATTACGCGACATGTCACATATATGTCTTTCCTTTCATATTTAATTGTTAGTGTCGTGTTCATCCATTTTCGGTTTATTTTTTCCAAACAATGTTGTCGGCCGTACTGATATTGCTTAAAGAAATATTCATGCTAAATAGTAGCGTTCAAGGAACCTCCAAATGACTATAACTATGGTATTTACTTCATTGAAGAATGGAGATTTATCCAATGTATTGGCAAGTTTGGCTTCTTCACCCTCTACCCTCTTTATAGCTAACATTAACTTATCAAGGAAAAGGGATACCTACATACACGGCTGGGATTTGTCGGGGTGGGAGGGAAAGAAAAACTTTCAAAAGTAGTGATGATTGTTTAGAAAACAGTGAGTTTATTTTCTTCAACGTATTTCAGAAACCACTTCTTGTTCGTTAGTTATGACATTAAATAGGTTGCGTTGGTGGAAATCATGCAGGAGAAGCTCATTCGCTAAAAGTAGAGAAGTTATTATTCCAGGGAAAGTCTGATTACCAGAATGTCATGGTGTTTCAGGTATTCGATAGCCTTAAATTTGAAGTCCATCAAATTTATTCTTAACATATGAATACTTTTGTTTTTTATTGTGTAAAACATGGTTTACTTTTGCTGCAGTCATCAACTTACGGAAAGGTTCTTGTCTTGGATGGTGTAATTCAACTTACCGAGAGAGATGAATGTGCTTATCAAGAGATGATTACTCATCTCCCACTTTGCTCAATTCTGAATCCAAAGAAGGTATTTACGATCTAATGATCTTTAATGTGAATGATTGGATGGATCCCCCCTTTAAGTAAATCATGATCACGATGTCATTCATACTTTTCACACCTGGGATTTGCTTGATCTCTGTGTAGACTTCTAAAAAACTGACTCTGTGAACCATTAGTGCTCTCTGTTTTTCTCATTTTCCTAAATCATTCTTTCAACATTATTTTTACTTTCAGGTTCTGG